ATTCAATTTATTATTTAAATAAATCGAAGAATTTAGAAGGTTAACTTTCCAATTATTAGATTAAGTTTACTGTAATCAGCAAATTTCATGGGAATCTATGTCAATATGTGATTGGCTAAAAAATCAACAATTTTAACCAATTATATACTGCTTTTTTTCCAGATATGATACATGAAATTTTCTGATCACAATAATTTGAAAACAATAAAATCTGTATAATACATTACAATTTTTGTACAGTAAAGAGGTAACATAAATGTGCACCTTTTTCTTGGTTGATTTGATAATTTTAATTCATATACAATAATATTTAGGTCCTTAATGCTGAAAATATATTTGAAGTAGAACAGAAACGGAAATTAGAAAAGTTGAGAATTAAAACATTAAAAGAACGTCAAATTACTTTATTAAAAATAGAAAATATATTATCTAATATCCATTGACCTCTTCGTCTAATTCTACATTTGTAGGTGGAAACAAATTGCTCAAAAAATGAATTTCAATTTTTTGCAATAGATTGCTTAATTGATTAATATCCAAAATATATTCCTTAATACCCTTTTTTTTGAAAAAAACTTAGAATATTGAATAATTAATAACCACTTTTATAATAATAAAAAGTGCAATGCTTTGCTTTAAAGGAATGATAATAATTACAGAATAGTTATTTAAAATATGGCTCGCTTTTTTACGACATCTTACAGGATAATTATGATTTTGACTAATCGCTCTCAAGCAGTATATCCAAATTGTTTCACTACATTTTTCAGCTATCAAGAATGTTTATACGTAAAAGAATAATGCGCTTAAGAATTTTGTATTACAAAATATTACATAAAATATATCAAGTTTAATAGGTAAAGATAAATCCTTACGGCGCGAAGCCAAAATGGGATACAAATGTAACCTTTTTTGGATTAAACCTCGATCAAAAAAATCGAACAGGTTTGAATGCTACCGCATCTAATAATCATTCAATGCCAAAAATAGCAAGGTATAACGATAACGATAACAGATTTATTTGCCAAATCTAAAAGCTACGCACAGCCACAAAAATTTAACTTGTATGAAATTGACATCTACCAATTTAGGGGGCCATTTAAAGCCCCCAGGTGTGTTTGGTATAAATCTGGAAATGATCTACATTCAGCATAAATTACTTTCTTGATAATTATATAAAATATTAACCATAATTGCATCAAAAACGTAACTCTAAATGCACGCCATATGCACGATATCGTTAGACTAGTAACGTATTAAAACGATACCAAGAATGAAGTATATACTGTAGTTTAAATCCTGCACATTATTGGACAGCATGATTTTGCAATGTGGAAATTATTTTGAGTTATTAACTTGTATTTACATTGAATAAATATAAATGTGCTAATGCTACTTTTTTTCAGTAACTATAGCGGTTTGCTTATCAATCAATAATGTCAGGATTTTAAATTTGTCAGCGAAATCTGCTGATTTTCTGCGCATACAACAAAAGTGCGTATCTTTTAGATTTGTCAAATATATCTATTATTGTTATATCTTGCTATTTTCAGCAATTAATTTAAGAGTGTCGTATGATTATTAAATAGCATTCAAACCTGTTCGACTTTTTATCATCACACTATTTTACGAGATTTAATCCAATAAAGGTTACATTTATATCCAAGGTTCATGCAATATTTTATAATACAATAAGTGTATTATTCCTTTATATTAATGTCAAATAGCATACTAATCAAGTGCAAGGCCCTTACGTTATTTAGCTGACAGTAAAAAGACACGAATAAGGATGTTAAACCGATTCGATCAAGAATGATTTGTCAGAATTTGAATAATTTATATAATGTAACTCGGTTCTTATATGCCATGCAGTGATCACGTTGCAAATAATCTTTAAACAAATCATATATATACAACCAATTGTTGTTTTTTGGGGAGTTTTGGATTTGTCTGGGGTTTGCCAGCAAGTATAGTTGCCCAATAATATTCGAGATTTTGAACAGTTATTTGCCTTTAAATCATATTATCAGTTGAACTTTGTTATTGGTATATTGCGTTTGTTAGGTAAGAATTTAAATATATTTAACTAGTTGATTATTAAATGATGATTATTATTTGATGCTTCGTCCATTAGACTGAGGAACGTTATGCATCAGTTTAATAACGCTGCGTAACAGTTTAGTGGTCTACTTGTTCGATTCATTTAAAAATTCAAAGCACACTGTGCAGCAGTTTAGTTCAGCTCAAAGAACGTTGTTCAGTAGTTTATTATTCAATTTCCGAGAAAATTATATAAATAAAATTAATAGAAATCATAGTTTATATGCATTATTCTTACTACATTTTCTTTATTTTTAGAATGCCAGAAGTGGATGAATATTTTGTAAATGATTGGAGTTATGATGGATTTCAAACATTCTTGACAGCTAAAAAATGTAGTGAAATAATTTGGATAAACTCCTTGAAAGCGATTAGTAAAAATAATAATTATCCCGTAAGATGTCGTAAAAAAGCAAACCTTATTTAAATAACTATTATTCTGCGATTTCTGTCATTCCTTCAAAGCAAAGCATAGCCATTTTCAATTTATGGAGTAGTTTGCATAAAAGGATGAAAAATGATAGGTACTTTTTGATTTTTATAAAATTGGTTGTTAATTATTCAATCTGCTAATATTCTTTTTTCAAAAAAAAAAGATTTAATAATGAATATATTTTGGATATTAATCGATTAAGCAACTTATTGCAAAAAACCGAAATTCATTTTTTGAGCAATTTGTTTTCACCTGCAAATGTAGAATTAGATAGAGAGGTCAACGAATATTTAAATAATATATTTTCTATTTTTAAAAGTAAAGAGGTAATATGAATGTGCTCCTTTTCTTTGCTGATTTGATAATTTTAATCATATATAATATTATTTAGACTTTTAATGCTGAAAGTATATTTGAAGAAGTAGAACAGAAACGGAAATTAACAAATTTGGGAATTAAAACTTCACAAGAGTGCCGAATTACTTTCATTTTTATCACGGTACAAAAATTGTAATGTATAATCTTATCATTAAAAAACTTATATAATTAATCTAATTGGGAAAACTGACCTTTCAAATTATCTGATTTATTGAAATAATAAATTGAATTAGTCTTAAAAATTTCCGAAAAGAAAATTTTTTTTCGTTAAAAATGTCTGAATTAAAATTTTGTGCAGAGGTTTTAGAATCATGTATCGATATATTGGCAGATATAGATGGTACTTATACTAGTTGGTAAGTAATATACATTCTAATACTCTGCAATTAATTAAATAGTTTAGAAGGACTATAATCTATTCTTAATATACAGTACCGAACAGTAAGAAATATCAAATTTGAATGGCTAATTTTTGCAAAATTAATTCTGCTTGGTAAAAATATATATAACCAATTTTTTTATATATTGAACGCAAAATTTTTGATTACATATAATCTTTAAGTTCTAATAACTTTCTAATTTTATAAAAAAAAAAAAAAAATTTATTTTAATAGAATTGTAGCTTAGACTAAAAGCAATATATCTGTAAGATAGATTTTTTTAAAGTGATTCGTTTCTGCGTTATAAGCATTTTTATATAAAAAGTGGATACTTCTTACTGTCCGGTACTGTACTAAGTTTAATTTATATTTTTTTTAGTTCAAATTTTAGTAATTTAGTTAATATATCTGCTTGCTTAATATATTAGATTTTATTTACACTGTTTATTTAAATATCTGTCTTTTGAGTCTAATATTTATAATAAATTATTAATACATTTTGTTATTTTTTTACTTGGTTTTACTTTTATTTTTTAGTTTTACAAATTTATATAGTTATAGAAACTTATTATAGATTGATATTATTTAATGCTAGTTTATATTTTTTACATAAAAATATATTATACAAATATTATATAATTTTTAAGTCTTTTTAGTATAATTAAATTATAGATATCCATTGGGTACAAATGAATGAAACACAAAATTGGTTAAAGGAAGAGATAGCACTAGGAGTAAAAGGATAGTCAACATCAACTACAGTGGAGTTATTAGCAATATGTGCAGCAATTTTGACAATACTAAAAGAGAAAAAACTAGAAATATTTACAAACAGCAATGTTGCAATTAGAAACATTAGTAGAAGTTTAGAGTTTATAGATAGAAATAGAATTCTCAAAAGAAAAATACTTTGTGGATAGTAAAGATAATTGACATAATTAGAACTAAAAACATACAAGTAGAGTGGTTTAAAATTAAAAGCCATAACAAGAACAAGTGAAATGATAAAACTAACAGTTTTGTAAAAAAAGAAATATTTAGTTAAAAAATAATATATGCAGAAGAAGTTAGTTATAAAGAAATAGAGTATTGCCTAAAGTGAAAAAACAAATAAATAGATATGCTAGCAAGACTTTTATACAAACTAGTAACAAATATCAGGCTAGGTATAAAATAAAAAGAAATGACTGTAATCAAAAACCTATAACTAATAACAAAAGTAATAATTTATAATTGATTATATTTTTAGAAAAAACTAAAAGTAACCAAAAAAGTATATTATATAACAAGAAGAAATAGCACAGAAAGAAGCATCTTTATAAAATATGTATTAGACAAACTACTAACATTAAAAAAGCTTAATAGAAAAAAATCAAATATATATACAATCACAGAATATCAAATCTGTTAAAACAAAATTAAAGAAACACAAGAACATCTGGCAACATGCAAGAGACAAGCAAGCCTTTAGAGAAGAATACAGAAAATATTATAACAACAGTATAAAAAGAATTAAAAGAAGAAAAAAAAGTTAGAGTTTTACTTTATATACTATATATAATATTTTTTAAAAACAGAATCAAAGAAAATAGAAATAAAAGAAGCATTAATTAAAGGCCTAATTACAAAAATGATTTAAGACAAATTAGTACAACTTCTAAATACAAAGACAAGACAACAATTTGTAAACATATTAGCAGAAACAGTTTAGAACATCTTTTATAAGCAAGTTTAAAGAATATGATGTGAAAAGATCAATGCATAAGAAAAAAATAGGAATAACTAGCAGAATAAAAAAAAACTAAAAGAAGAAGAAGAATCTAAACAAGAAAAAGAAAAGATTAGTTAGTAAGAAATAAAAGAAAGAAAGAAAAAAGTAAAAAAGAAAAAAATGAATTAAAAATAAAACTAAAAAGACAATTTCAAGACTTGTTGTAAAAAGGATAAAACCTTTTTATTATAAACTTTAAATAGTTAGGCAAGCAATTTACTTCTACTTGAAGTAATATAAAGATTGCATATAGATGCTATTAGGTAGCTGAGTGATACTAGTCTTAGTTGTTAGATACATCTATGTAATTGTAATAATAATTTTAAGAATCTTAATAAAGTACTAGTATGACTGTTTAAGTTTTAAAAAAAAATTATAAATATTCATTCTAACTAATTATTAGAAAACAGTTGTTATAACAGATAATTATACTTAATTTTTTTATTTTTAAATATTAAGATGAGTATTTGTGACCCAAAATTTTATTGATGGTATATTTGGCTAATAATTGTATTACAACTACAAAGGTCAATTATAAAAAGAGTATACAATATAACACTTATACAATTTTAATTATTGTTTGATTTAAGTAGTTTATCTAAAGGTTTTATACTAGTTGTTATATATGAAACCTATTTGTAGATTCTTTATTTAAACACTTTAGTTCTTATATCTATTTACTTATTTCTGTTTAACAATAACTTTAGCCAATATTGATAAAAATATGCCATGATTACTAAGTCTTTAAAGCAGTTTACTCATATAGAAACCTTTGACCTTATACTAAACCTTTCAAAATCTTTTGTATTTTATTTTTATAGTTAATCTGATATTGTTATAACCAAGACCAACACTTGCAGTTAGAGCATATTATTAAACTGCTATGTTCTTGTAGAGTTTATCCTAACCCTAATACTGACTTTACAACATATTTCTGCTTTTTGGTATTCAATTCAAGTTTTATTAAGCTTTCAAATCAGATAGCCTAGAGAGGTAGATTAGAATCATATCTCTAGTTTACATATTCTTCAACTTATAATTTTTTTCTCCAAAATAGATTCTGGTAATCTGGTTAGTTCTATTTAGCTCTTTCTCAAAAATTAGCTATTTGCTTGACTTCATAAGTTTTAGCTTTATTTCATAGATCTAGTCTTTACAGTAGCACTGTTGAAAGTTCAGACTATCTTTTTACTTAAGTCTTTTAAATAAACTTCTGTCTTTTTATCTAGTTTTTGTAATTTAGATAGTCTAAAGACTTATTATAAATTTATACTATTCAGTATTAGTTTGTATTCTTTTGTATAACATTGTATAAATGCATAGACCTTTTAGTTATACTAGTATAATACAGGTTACAAATATCTAATTTCAACTAATTACAGAAAACAGTTAACTATAATATATAAAGAATTGCAAATTTTTACTATTACTGAGATTAGAACTCTAAATCTGTCACTTGAAGATTTACAACCTATCTACTTTACTAGGTTGCTACACTTTTATAATTATACTTTATTTAATATTCAGAAATATAAAATACATTATAAATTTTTACTAGTATTATAGGGTTGCAGCCTTTTTGGTACAATACAATCAAGTAACAAGATTACTCAATATAGTGATTGACTATTACAAATATATATAGGATGAAAGTATAGTAGTTCACTTTACTATATAGCAGCAGACAAACAGTTCAAGATAGTAACAGTATATAGATTAATTTTATTAAATAAATATATAGTGACAACCTTGCCTATAAGAATTATTCTAGAAGAAGAATATTACTTTTACAAGTTAGAGATAAAGATAGAAAAGTTTAGGTAAAAGTATAAGAACTTCATATTAGCAGAAAAAGAGAAAAAGTATCTTTTATATATCTTTTTACCTAGTAGAAATAATGAAGATTTAAATAATGTTATTTGATACTGTATTTAGAATAATAAGAGTTCAAACAACATTAAATATTATTGTACTTAAGATAGTAGAGATTTGAATAATATTAAATAATACTGTGCTTGAAGTAGTAGAAATTGTATAGAGACAATTAGGTATATTGTTTATATTATTTGTCATTTATGTTTGAAACACCTAAAACTTATATTTAGACACTTGGATTCATGCAAAGGTACTTGGAATTTGTGCTAAAATACTTGGAGTTTGTATAAGAACTCTTGGAATTCATGTTAGAGATATTTGGGATACTTGTACTATAGTACTTGACACAGTAATTTGCTGCTAGAATACATAAACCTTGTACAAGAGTATTTGAAGTTTGTAAAATGATAGTAACATCATAGATATTACTTAGTGTTATGTAGCTGTATCATATTTTTATAACCAATTAAGATCTTTTTATTTATTTACTATATAATATAACTATTGACTAACTAATAACTAATAACTAATAATAAATATAATATATAAAATACAATAATGAAGGAAGGCAAATCATTAACTCTTCCTGATGATTACTTGTACCAAATTTTCTCTAAACATAATTACCCATTTCTCAATTTTTTATTAAGTAAACCTACTTTAGCTGTCTAAATAAAATTGTTCCTAACAGAATTTTACATATAGGCAGCCTAGTTTTATATCCTCAAAGGCTTTTATTACTAAGATATAACTAAACTTTGTAATTTACTTCTTTTTGCAAAAACTCAAAGTTTATTAAGTAAATCATAGTTGTTACATAAAACAAACTTGTTCAGCTCATTCTAGCCATCATTTTGATATATTATACACTATAAATAGTTTAAAACTGACAATTATACAGTTAAAATACTTCAAAACTCTCTTGGAAACTATATTTTACTTTTGCAAAAAATTTTTTCTACTTTTTTGGAGGAATTCTGGTTCTCTAGGATGCCTAGACCTGCAGATCTAAATTATTAATCAATATTATTAATCTATTTATATAAATTTAACTTTGTTTTATCTATTTTTAATTTTTACCAATTTAGTCTTAACTAAATTATACAACTT